ATCATACGACAGCCCACAAGGTGTCTGACAAATGGTCTAACGGGTTCTATGCCGCGCATTGAAAATGGACACGCACGATTGTCCTTCGGTGCACGCGGTCACAAGCCATTTATTAGAAGTCCTTGAACGGACCCCCTGAATGGAGCACTGTCTTCTTCACGTGTCGCGGATTAGCCAGCCGTTCACTGCGCGCCTCATTCGTAGGACCTCCTTTCACAGGACCCCTAAGATAGATTTGAGCCACCGATTTAGCAGACCCCTTGTGAACAGCTTCTGGATGTATCCTCAAAATTAACTAGTGCGGGGTTGGCGTGTGGAAGTTAGAGTCGGGAACAAACTGCCAACGCCAAAACGACACTCCTACGTGCTTAAACAACCGTCAAGCGCGTGTTTAAGCAACCGTGTTTACACAATCGCGTGTTTAAAACAAGCGTGTGTATAAACAACCCCGTGTGTAGACAACCGTGTTTACACAGCGGCGCGTTTAAAACAGCTGAGAGGTTGTCATACTGGCATTGTTGGAAACCGGGCAGCCGCATGCTCTTGTCGATTGGCACGCAAAGCTTTGGTTGATCCTCGCGAAGGCCAGGATGTGTCCGCTTGCAAATCCAGGCCGCCGCCTTTGTGGGTTTGGTTGGTGCCAGCGGTTGCCTCGTCATTGAATGCAACATGCAAAGAACTCCCAAGTGGCTCAACATGAGCGGCGCCAGGGAGTCGGGCTTTTCGTTTCCGGCAGATTCTGCTTTGAGGTTGATTTCTCGAAAAACCACGGAACGTATCAGGGTCTCTCCTGTTCCGTAGCTGCAACATTTAGGGCACGAACGATGGGTACCGGCTTGCATGTGCGTCGGCTCCACAACAAGGTGGGTAGACTTAACCCTGTGGCCAAGTACGAATTATTGAAATGTGTGGGGTCTCCAACTACTCGGTCGTTTGAAATCAATCCTCCCTGAACCCTTCTGCCAGATGGTGGTGGTTTGCTTCCCTTGTTGCAGTGGTGTCCCTCCCTACGGGCTGGGATTCGAGATGCTCAACCCGTTCGAGTTGCAGCCCTTGTCTTCGGCCGAAGGCTGAAGCACCGCGTCACCGAGCCCAAGGCACCTTTCGCCTTGGGTCTTCCATTTGTTTCATGTGTGGAATATGTTCACGCAGGGGGACATGGGGGGGTGTCTAAGGCCGATCTTGAGAAGCTTTCCCTCAAAAACACAAGCACACACAAATTATTACATGTGGTGAAAGGAGCTCACCCATCATAAGACCTACTTGCAACAAGCCAAAGAAATTGTCTCAATTGATTGTTACAATTGATATGTTTGATTCCATCATCCCGCGGTTGCCCTCCATCGTGTCCAGTTTGGACAGGACATGGCCTTTGACAAGCTCGCGAAAAACATGCTTCTGGCGAACCTCGCCGTGACCTCAAAATGATGGGCGGAGCCATGGGCTCGGAACAGGGCCCTTGGGATCATTTACCACTCCAAAGGTGGCCAGATGTTGCATGCAAACAAACGTTGGCCAGATGCTGACATCCCTGTGCTCCGGCCAAAAACACATAGCCACACCGGGGCTTGCTTTGGCCTTGCAAGCCCCAAACCGGCCACTTCGCACTTCTCAGGGTTAGAGAGTTTGTGCATGGCCAGGTCTGGCAGGATGGATCATTCGTGAAGCGAGGATTGCCCGGCGGCATCTTCATGCCAAGAGGTTTCACGTGAGGTTTGATCAGAACTCGCCATAATAAGAACTAGATGTGGTTCGAAAGTACCCCCACAAATGCATTCTACTCATTCGGGCCAGTATAGTAGGTTCTTTGCAGTTTGCTGGCTTCTGACACTTCCACGCGGAGCGAAGGTCGTGCTACGACCTGAACAACTGGGGCAAACCGGCTGCCGCTGGGTGGCGAGTAGTGTGGTCCCACTTCTTTTGAGGCTGGATGCAGAAGTCTGCCATGTTCCTTTTTTCTGACTGCTCCCCTTGTCAAAGAACACACGGCAAATAAGGTTTTCGGAAAATCAGCTGTAGAGCCCTGTTCGCAGAACATGTTTGGATAGAGCTCAGTTCGGGATCTGGGGCGCTTAGAGTTGAACTTTTGTGGTGTTCTGTGAGTTCTGTGGGACGTGGGTCAGCAAACCGATCTCGTCACGTGTTTTTCTGACAGGTCAACAAGCTCACCCGGGCATAGAGAAAGCCAACTGCCTTTTCATTCACCATGTGTTCTCGCGAGCCCTGGGTTTGCCGTTTTTTAACCCTTGGACATGGGAATATTTAGACTCGCGGGCAAGGAGGACCCCGCTAACAACATCATACAAAACAGCACATTGTTCTCAAAGCAAAGCTGCGGCGCGACTTGTTGCTAGGGTGCTCAGACTTGTCAAAGTCGCCTTGGAACATTATACTTTGTGTGCCATCGAGATTCTATCTTGGGACAATCGCTGCCGCGTGGATCGCCGTTTGGATTGTGGGCTGAAGATGTTCTATAGCGTTGAAATTAATTTGGTGTGGATGATGCGCCCCGTACAGATTTATTGCTCATGAAAGACACGGGTCAATGAAAGCACATGGGCGTCGCATTTTGTCAGGGCCAGTTTTAGGCGCTAAAGGGAAGTTCAAAGGTAACCTATCCTGATTCTTTCTGAGCAGAATGTGCCGCAATTCAGGGCTCCGAGTCAAAGTGGGTGCTATGCGGTCAGCAGAATACGCCTTCAGATGTATAACCCGTTCTTGCATGAAATATCGCAAAGTGCTTTGTGTCGCGCGTGCAGCTTTTGACCCGCCACCTTTTTTTGTGTGGGCGCGACAGCCAAGGTCTGAAAGGACGACGCCGTGCTTCGGAACGCACTTTGGTGGCACAAGAGAGTGAGGCAACACGCACAAGGGCCTGTGTTTGTTTGTTTGTTTGTTTGTTTGCTTGCTTGTTTGTTTGTTTGTTTGTTTGTGTGTGTGCTTTGCTTGAACTCGTGTGTTTTGACGTTTGGGTATGAGTCGGTGTGAGAGTTCAACGTGCTAAAGGCGGTTCTCATTGTGTATGTTTTTTAGCATTTGAGGTTCGGTCAAAATATCCAGTATTCTACGCTCCATTTGGGAAGGACATGGGGTACTCACCAAGTTCCCCACAAAAGGAACAGGGACTATGTCCATTTACGTAATTTGACCGTGGCAAGCAACTTCAAGTGTTGGAGATTACACATCTTCTTATCCTGGACTTGGTATGGCTCTCTTTGCAGCACCATGCCTTTTGACTTGACCCGACGCATGACAAGTCAACGCAGCAAAAGCAAGTGACAATTCAGCAGTACCACCCGAGCTGTCAAGCTGAGGCATATCAGCGATGAGAGTATACAAGACACGTGTATGTGTGTGTGTGTATATATATATATATATATACGAATAAACACTTCTAAACGTATTATATTTAGATTATTTGTATATACCCATGTACTTCATGCACTTCTGTTTTGTAGCGCCTCTGCCACAGTGAGGCGTGGCTTGAGCTCACATACGCTCCAGGCTGGGAAGCGTTTCGTTCCGGGAAGTTTGGCCAGCATTTCGGGTCAAAGGATATTTTGCTTTGGGCCATTTTGATTGCCAAAACTAGAGGTTGGGCGGGATGGTCATGCTCGTACTTTGCTTCCATTCCCACTCTTGTAAGCGGTTGGGCTTTCAGTACCACGTGTAACCAGGATGTTCCAGGGCACTGTCAATTCTGCTGCTTGACTTGACCTGGCATGGGGGGGGAATCCCTGACTTTCGCGCGCTCAGGAGAAAACCCAAAAGCGGGTCCTGTTTCAAAGACAAGTTCTCACCGTTTTTGTTGCTCCAATTCACTCCTGCTCCCCAGGTGAGACTCAGCCGTCACCCCCAGAACCCTGTTTGGTTGAGTCGGGGAAAATACTTGCACCATTTGTGCTGCAAATGATGTTTGCTGGGAGAGACAGTTGTCGCGAAGAACAACAAACATAGGATATCTAGCTTCAGATCTGCATGCCAAAATGCAGTGGCCAGCCCGTGTTTGTCCTTCGCTGAAGGATTCTGAGGGCATGTTTCCTGTACTCGTCGGATTTTTTTTCCCCTGCGCTTTCGGTCCCACGATGATACTTTGCTTGGAACATCTGTGAGACTGGCTGAGCAAGCTTTGGTATGGCTCAAAGCTGTCAACTCCATTATTGGAGCATGACCTGCGGTGACAAAGTTGATCCGCGCAAACAACATCACCCAGATTTCAGTGCAGCTGAGGGCGCGTGAGAAAGAGTTGCAGGAATCGTTTATTGCCTTGCCACTGCCAGCTTCACGGGATAATTCGGCCTAAGCGCGAACCATCAGTCTACGTGGCACCTGCTTGCAATAGATCGAACGCCTAAAGCTTGTTGCGACTCAAACGGAAGGGTGGGCAGATGGGAAATCCCGGTCGCAGTGCCCGAAGCCGGGGCTGGGCACGCAAACAGATAGCAGTCACTTCCAAGAAAAGCTCTAGACTTCGAGTCTTCGAGTTAGGAGAAGCATCTCAGGTAGTCGGCTAGGATGCGAGGTTTCCTCGTTCTCCGATTTTGCAGAAAAATTATTGCTGAAACTTACACGTCCGTCTTGTGTGGCGCCCTGTCTTTCTCTGGGGCGTTCCATGAATCCTTAGGATTGCTGCCAGTCCGCATTCAGTCGCATAAGCATCTGCAATGCGCAGCGAGTTTGGGATCCAGGAGCTCAGCCCCTTGAAGCCTTGCTCATTTGGCACGTTGCGCCTCTAGCGTGGCATTGGCAGTTGAACGGACTTGACGGCGTCGCAACTTTGCACCTAATCCAAAGAAGACTGCCGCAAGACTTTGCAGTTTCGACGAGAAGTTCACGGGCTCGCAGACACGGATTAGGACGCCAGATCCGGCCAAAGCTTTTGAGGTGAGAGAGAGAGAGTGCGGAATGGACAGTGGCACTTGGAGGGGCAGCAGTGCTTGTTGCATTGAGTTTGTTTGGTGGCTAGAATGCTTTCTTTGTTCCCGTCGCTCTTCCAGCTGGCCCAAGCTACATTTCATGTCTCACTTACACCCTGAACGTATCAGCCTGGGCCCCAGCTCTGGAAGCCATGAAGGGGGTGCTTTTCCACATCACAAGTAGCTGGCACTTGATGAGGGAGGCTGCCTGTTGATGCTTTGAACATTCTGGTATGTTGCGATTGCCTCTTCAAAGTTGTGTTTTGTCTTGCTCCGTCGGACATGCTCTTGCCCTGTGAATGAAGACGGGCAGCCGCTACGTTTGGATTGCTGCCCTTTGTCCAATCTGAGGAGCAAGGCGCTGCTGCAAGCGAACGTGGAGAACTAGTAGGACAATCCTTTGTCCCTTGCTGTGTGTATGTGCGCCGCTGTTGCGGCCCGCCCCATTGCGATAAAGTCTTTATGTGTTATATATACACCCAGCGCCCCACGCAGGGCATTTTTCTGAGCAAGAACCACCTGTATGTTCACAAGCGTGTCAGATTGGCATGCTCGCTATTGAAGTATATCAATAGACAGTGGCATGCTTGTCTAGCTTCAGCTACATGTCGCTGCGTGCATTTGACACGTGGCAAGTAAGGGCAGCACATCGGGCTTGCTCCAAGGCCACATGAAGAATGTGCAGCTCTTGGGACACGAAATGTTGTGTCCTTGTTCTTAAATGAGCTGGACACATCAGTCCACATGCTTGGGAAAGGTCTTATCTCAGGGAGCCTTCGCCCCCATGAGCATGTTCACTCCTGACACTTGTTGGCCCCCTCCACGATCGACAAGGTTCTGAAGGAGGGTCCCTGAGCCTTCTTGATCCAGACTTGGGAAAACGTGTGCGCGGCACCTCACAATTGAGCGCCCACCAATTTCTACTGGCCATTAGGTGGTAGATCATTGGTATTGCAGTTCTAGTACCTGTTCAATTGGGCAGGTGAAGGGAAGCTGCCTGTTCCAAAATGAACACTCAGAATGTCTGTAGTGACAGCCAAGTGGTGTCACTATGTCAGTTATGTTTGATGAGACTTGTTGCGCAGGGCGAGGGATTGGCTGTTTGCATTGAACATTTGTTTAATCAACAATGTCTGCAAATAAGCAGTGGCATATTTGTGAGGCTCAATGCTCATCTCGCTGTTTGCATTCAGCATTCGGCAAGCAAGGAAGCATTTTTGGAATTTGGCTTGAGGGCCAGAGTATTAGACTGGAATGCCAACGGAGCTTTTGGAGTGCCTTGACGCTGTTCAGACCAAAGAAGACATTTGGCTGGCGCTTCACAAATGAAGGCCCAAGCAGCCTTTGCCATCGCCCCTTTCTCGTGCCCTTCAGATGAATTGAGCAACTGGCAACATTTTCGGCAGTCCATTGTTGATTATTTTGGAAGGACATGGAGGCCCACCCAAAGTGTCCATTGAAGACTAGAGGGCCGCCCAATTTCCCCGTGCCTCTCGAAGAACAAAGAACACGAAGTACGGAGAACCGTACTGCGTCCAGTCAAAACAGTCAATGGCATCCCCGCGCCGGATATGATCTGGATATGATCTCAAGGTAGTAGAATCTCTTCCGGACTCGTCCATTGACTCAACGATTCAGCATATGTCCCAAACCCCAGGCCCAGCCCCGGAACTCGGTTGATTTGAGGGCACCATTGTGAAAGTCAATGATGCAAGCCTGTTTGCGTGTGACAGGAGCGGAGATGGCCGCTTGGATCAACAGTAGTACTTTACTTTCAGTTCTTGCTTTGCTAGATGCCGTTACGGCTAAAGCTTCTACTAGCCAAAGTGAGACTCGCGTGCCTCGGTTTTGCTTGAACCGCTTCAAGGACTGCTCAGATAGAGTTTGGATCCGTTGGGTTTAGTGGGGCGGGGCTTGAGCCGTCTCCTCACAATCCCAGCTGCCCCAGCGCAGCCTCTACCGCGATCGGACGGAGACGGATTCCGGCTCTTTGCAGGTTTTCAGAGCACCTGTTTGCGCCCAGGAAGTCCCCACCGCCAAGCCAGAGGACAAGCAGGTCAAACCCATGGTTTCTTGGTCAAGAAGGACACATGCCTCAGTTCGGGTCGAAGGTGAAGCGTTCCCTTTTGAAGCGGCAGGGCAATCGACTGGCCTGAGGTTGTTGATTTGGACCAGCGCCGGAGCTTCGCAGAGTACCTCATCAGCTCGGACGTGAAGCTAGTCCGAGCAGAATTCATGTGGCACCTGCAGCGGCAGGGCCAAGCTTTGCCCCGGCGGCAGGAGGCGGAAGGCATGACGTTCCCAGACAAAGCCGAGCAACAGAGGCCCGCGCTCGTGTCACATGAAGAAGTGTGGCAATGGGCTGAGGGCAAACTTCCCCATGTGTTTGTGCTCTCTGTGTCGCATTGTTGGGAGGCGAGAGAGCACCCAGACCCATGTGGGCACCAGCTTGGTCTGGTGGCAAGTTTCACCAGCTTGCATTACGCCGTATATGAGTGCCAGCAATGGTTGTTTTTCGATTACCTTTCTGTCTACCAGTATGAGCGAGAGCTCGCTGAGCAGGAGAGAAGCTTCCGAAAAGCCCTTGATAACATGCACGCGCTGTACGCGCACGCATCCACCTCCACACTCCGCATTGAAGGTCTCACCCCGCCTGAGGTCTTGGGCAAAATGCAAGACGAAGGCAAACATCTTATGGTTTATCATGGGCCGAGCAAGCGAGTGATGTCTATCCCACTCACTGATTTGCGGGAGCCCCACAAATGTGGCACAGATTGCCCCTTCCTACATTTGAACCGAACTCCATACCTCGAAAGAGGATGGTGCCGCATAGAGGTGGAGTGGTCCTCGTCGAGAGGAAAGCATGCCCGGAACGTGCGAATTGATGGGCAAGGCCGTGAGAAATACGCCTTCAAGGCACCAATGCCCCCCGACAAGTTTCAGGAGCAGGTGGGCTCCCACTTAAAGTTTACCCACCGAAGTGACTGCGATGCAGTCCTCGCCTTGCAGCGCCGGATTTTTTACGAGCGCGCCAGCACCACCGAGGAGCTGGTGCAAACCGGCCTAGCAGAAGAGGAGGTGGTGACCCTGGCCCAGGTGCTTTCGGAATACACGCAGGTGCGGCGCCTGCGCATCACGCTGAGCGAGATGGCCCCCGCTGCAGCGAAAGCGCTGGGCGAGGCGGGGGGGAGAGGGAGCGAGGGAGTGTGCTTGGCTGGCCGCCTTGCAGGCCCTGGCCGCCCACCCGACCCTGCAGGAGGTCGAGTGCCCGGGGCCGGATTGGTGCTGCTTGCAGATTCGAGGCGGCGGCCGCGACCCGCTGGCCAAGGCGGGGGAAGTGTTGGGGCATGGGGGACGCTCGCTGCAGCTCCGGCAGGCACTGGCCAAGGCGCTCAGGACCAACCCGAAGATTACGAAGGTGGATTTGTCCTGCAACGAAATCACCGCTGACGGGGCGCAGGCCGGGTCTGAGCGGAGTCGCGTCGGAGCAGCTCAGCCTGAAGTGCCAGCGAAAGAGCGAGGGAGAACCTGAGATTGAGCCTTCCACGAGTTAGACTAGACCTTGCCCATCTTTTTTCTATAAAAAATCCTGGGCCCCCCCCCACACTTTTAGCAACATTTTAAAACAGCACCTCAAAAAGCACATTTTCAAAATCAACATTTTAAAGCAGGTAATTTCCTAGTAAGTTCATCCATATTTTAAAATATATTTTTTAAAAAATAAATTTTACAAAATGTTCAACAAAATAAATTTCAAAAAATAAAGTTTACAAAATTTTCAACAAAATAAATTTCAAAAAATAAATTTGACAAAAAAAAAATTAAAAAAAAATAAATTATACAAAATTTAAAAAAAACATAAATTGTAAAAAATAAATTTTAACAATTGAATTTTACAAAAAAAAAATAAAAATAAATTTTACAAAAAAATAAAAAAAAAAAAAAAAAAAAAAAAATGTTTTCCAAAAATTATGATAAATTATTTTACAATAAATTTTATCACAACTTTTGTAGACATATTATGGGCAAGGTTATGTTCATTCAAAATGAAATATCTCATAAACATAATTATTCACATCATCTTCATCAATATAAATGATATCATCTCCAAGCAAAGCAAAAATGTATCCTTTCAAAAATATCATAAGTATGTTGATTGGATGGTAATAGTTATTTCTAGATTTGTATGGTGTCATTAAATATTCAATACAATAATCTGGAACTCGTCTTGCATTTTGTTTGTTGTAAACATTTTCAAGCACACAATGAATGAGGAGCAAGTTTTTTTTAGCAAATGATTTTATCGCTAATCGGCACTGTTTATCTGTAAAGCTTTTTTCACATCAACAGCGTCAAATAATTTGTCAATTTCTTTCTTCAATACCCTGTCATCATCCGATATAAAATCATATGTGAGTGGTTTTTCGTTGTGCTTTGAAAACCAGCGTAATTGATATTCTATTTTGCTTAAACCATCTCCATATAGTGCTTTTATTCTATGAATAAACTGTTCTTCCTGTGATATCATATTAGAACACTTGGCGCAATGTGGGTAATAATTACTAATAATATAACAAATTTCAATTGGCATTTTCTGTCTTAAAGTGAATGTATCCCTTTTATTGATTGTACAGTTTTTACAGTTGTTATAATTGAATAGCATTATTTCTATTAATATATATAATTAGTATTTATTTAAATACTTTGTTACAAGAATTATTTATATTTTAATTTTCAACAATTACATATCTACCATCATCGCCCTTAATAATCTTATAGTATTCTAATGTTTGTTCCTTTGGACTTTTGATTTGTCCCATATTTAACATATCGCAATATTTTTTACGCTTCGTGTCATAATCACCGCTGGGTCTGCCTATCCCTTTCTTTTCAAAGATTTTATCAATCTTTTCCTTCTCTTCATTGTTATTTTTTGGTTCGTTTGCCTTTGCATCAAGTTTCTCGTCAATTTTTTTATCATCTCGTACAACAGTTTAACATTTTTACTAACTGTCATCATCTTCTTTGATAGTTCAGCAATAGCATCATTCTCAACTTCAGACATTTCTATATATTTATTTATATAATTAGTTATTTAAATATATATTTATTTATAAAATTGATTTAATGTAAAATCTACTCTTTAAGTACTAAATGTTCATCATTTGTTTAATAGTTTCCTGTGCTTCGTTATCACCATTACCGGATGGCGATGCATGCCTTCCCCATTTAAAAGTTATATTATGAACATCCGTTTCCAGATTTATACTGTTTTTGGTTTTATCAATATTCATTTTCTTATCGTTTTTACTCAATTTGAAATTTGTCGGAATACACGAACATTTGCAATTTCCTTTCTTTTGTATTTCTATTTCATTTTTCATTTCTAACATCTTTTTACACATAGGACACTCAAACTCGGTTAGTGCTGTTTCTTTAACAATTTCTTCTTCTTTGTCTTCATCTGTTGAAGAAACTGTAGTATCCGTTTTATTCTTTTTGTTTTTCTTTTTTCCCATTTATATTAACATTTACATTTTTATTTTGGATATATTGTATTCCTAATTTAATTGATTCTAATGAATAATAACAGCATTTTTTAATTTTATTGTCAGTTATTATTACTTGTTCTATATTCTCTACTTCATCTATTATATCAATATAATCTGAATAACTTCTATCCATATTAAATAATAAGATAAATTATTCTAATTAATCTTATTATTTCATGCATAATAGAATATTGGTGGGGCACAGCACTTGGGTTTTTCATTGCACACGCGAGCAAGACACAAAACTAGTTATTTTCAATGCTTATTGATTGAAGCAATGGACACCTGTTCCATTATGTTATTCACCGCCACTCATAACATAATGATGTTCCATTTAATATTAATTACAAGTTAATTTTTAAATATAATTTTCTATATTTCTTTAATATCAACTATGACAGATGTCCCAATAATAAAACCAATAAACATAACTGAATATGAATTCAAACAATCCAAATATGAGCACGTGCCAAAATTACCATTTAGAAGTATTATAGTTGCGAGTTCGACGGGAGGCAAAACAGTTTTAGTTCAGAATCTTATCTTAAATGTTTATAGAAATTCATTTGCAAGAATATTTATATTTTCACCCAGCGTTCATAATGACCCAACTTTTACAGAAGTTAAAAAATACATCAGGGATGAATTGCACGTAGATGATGAAAAAGAACAAATATATTTTGATAATTATAACCCAAGTGATTTAGAAAATGTAATTGAAAGACAGAAGAAAATAATTAATTATATGAAATCTAAAAAGATAAAGAAACTGCATTCAATATTAATCGTTATAGATGACCACGCAGACGATCCTAAATTTGTTAGATATAGTAAATTATTACATGGATTATTTACAAGAGGTAGGCACGATGCAGTAAGTGTAATTTGTTCAACACAAAAATATAATGTTTTAGCGCCTATCATTCGTTTAAATGCCAGTTCATTATATATTTTTAGGTTGAAAAATGCAAGTGAGTTAATGAGTTTTATTGAAGAAAATAGCGCCATTGTTGATAAACAGCAATTATTAGATATGTATCATCAAGCCGTTAATGACGCACCTTATAGTTTCTTCTACGTGAATATGAATGCTAAGGACATTAACAAAATGTTTCATATCAGATTTGAACAGGCGTTTCAAATTACGAATGATGAATAAAGATATTCTAATTTAATATAATATAATAATATGTCAATGAAACTATGTAGATGTGGTGGATTTTATCGTAGAGGTAATTATAATTTTCATACTAATTCTTGGATACATAAACTTTATAAAGTATTGAAAAGAAGGGCAACAGACGAGGAATTATTAAGATTTCAAAATAATTTTGTTGATGAAGAAGATTTAATAGATGATATATGTAGCAATGCATCAACGAAATTACCCGATAGTGAAATGACAGATTATGATAGTAATCAATAATATTAATTTGTTTTAATATTATTAATTTAAAATAATGAATAATTACATAATTGAACAGGTAATTTATATATTAATTTGTCAGATTTTTCTTTCTCTAGTTTCTCAATTCGTGCCACACATTCTTGAAGAGATTTAATAATTAAAGTGTCTGCTCGTGTTTTTTCATCTATACTTAAATTCTGAATGTCTTCCAAGCTATTATTTTCATTATTTTTACTTTGACCAATACCCATTATATATAATATGATTTAGATTTTAGTTTTTCAAAATTGAAATGTTGGTTTTCTTCTTCTTCTTCGTCTTCAGTTGGTGCTGGTATTTCTGTTGGACTTTCAGATGAAGAACTATGGACAGTAACAGGTGGAGAACTATGAACACTAATAATTTCATTAGAAGAACTACTGCTAGCTTGTGCATTTCCTGCTGTTATTTGATTGACTAAATCTGCGATATTTATAGTTGTTGCAATTGCGCTGTGCGATAAGTTTAATATGATATCTGCTACTGTAGCGCCGTTGTGTAGCATTATTTCTATCATTTTTGTCAGTTTGAACTTCTTTTCTTCTTCATCGCTGTCATCCTCATCTGGTGGTTTCTTTGGCGGTGGTTCTGGCGGTTTGTTGTTGTCGAGCATTTTAGTAAAGGCTGACACCATCGCGTCGCGTTGGTTTTTCAGTGTTTGTGTTGCTTGTGTTCTTGTTGGTTCATTTCTCTTGTGTGTGTTGTGCCAAGAGTTTTTAAGCATTATTTTAAACATATTGTCCTGGTTTTCCTTTACCTTAAACGCTTCAAATGTCATATTTAATGGTTGATTTGCATCATTGTATAACTTTTCTTGAGTCTCTCTGGTTTCTGTGGCGATTGTATCTGTGTTGGTTGCAATGTCAATAAACTCTCTCGGCGTGCCCTTTTTCATCAATTTCGATGGTTGTATTGTTGTTGAAGTGTTTGGTTTTGTTAGGTTATGTATTGTAAAACTGTCGTGATCATATTTATCATTGAACTTTTGCTTCTTTCTTTTCAGTATGTTTTTAGTTAATATTATCAGTATAATTATTTATATATTATTTCTTTCCTTTACCTTTAAAACTTGCCTTGAGTTCTTCTATTCTACCTTTGCCTAAATTTACTATCCACCCGCCATTATCAATAGTGTCTAAAATCATATCTGTTAAATATTCTTTGTATGTTCTCGCCTTACCTCTGCCTTTGTGTTTCAATTCTTCTTGTATTTCGCTTTCTTCTGGCACTTGAATTCCTCTTAAATAAAATTGAAATTCAATATCATTTACTGTTAAATTAGGGTTTTCTTTCCAGTAAACAGGACTAATATTATTATCTAGTGTTGTTTTAAATAATGGCGTCATTGGCAATGGTGGTGGTTGTTGGGCTGTTGAACTTGATGCTCCTGTTGCTTGTTGAACTGGTGTCGCGTCAAAATTGTCATCTACTGCTTGAGGTGATAGTTCAACATCTTCTATG